TTTCTATAGTTCTTCCAGCGATATGTAGACTTTTAAAAATGAGGGAAATAATCTGAAAGATATGTGCATCAAATTCCTAAAAAAATTTAAAAAACCTAAAAACTCCTAAAACTCTCCTTCTATAGTTCTCAAATCACTTGAGGAAGAAGTGTTAACTTGGTTCATATTCTATACTGTGAATTTCTCCTTATTAATGTTGTTATTGAACCCTATAGTATGTAAGTTATTAAGGAGCTTCCAAATGTCTCCAGTATCAGAGCTCCACTGTCTGTCCTAGATGTGTGTGGAAATACAGCCCTAGTACCAGAGAACTTAAAAACCTAAAATGATAATTACAGTTAGAGAAGCACATACTTTCCCTATTTTTAGAGACTTCAGCAATAGCTACTACTGATGATTTAAAGAGATAGATTAAGTTTCAAATCTAAAATAAATCTCACAACCAATTACCATTTTTAATTCTCTTTTGTTTTTTGTTTGTGCACTGGACAACAAATTGTCCTTTTGTATAGTATTTTAGCAATTTTTAAACCCTATACTGAAAAGGATTGATGAAATTGAGATACAGCACAAGTAAAGAAAAACATAACATACACTGGGCTTTTGGTGAATAGTTTACATCTGCATTCACAGATATTAGCATGGCTACACTGGAGGGGTTTTTTCTAAGTTATTTCCTGGTAAATTATTAGTCCAGCTACTTCAGAACCAGTGCCAATATGGTAACAAAATGCTAGCAACCCTTTTTTTTTTCCTGTTATGTCCTGAATACTTGTTTTGAATATACTGGAAAATAGTGGAACTTGCCTTGTTCTAATTAGTGGTGCATCAAAATCGTTCGTCAGCTGTTTTGTTAGAGAAGAACTTGTGAGTACACATGTTGGTTTTGATACATTGATTTAACATTCTGTAAAATATACAGATAATCTCATTGACAATTAATTTATTCAAAATACTTTGCCATTTGCATGTCCTAATTTTTAATAAATTGTTTACCTGCAATGATTGTTTCCAGTTTAAATTATCACAAAGCATTTAAATGCCACTAATTTTAATGTGAAATAAGTATGCTGGCATAATAGTGAATAAATGAACCAGTGACTATGTGACTGAACTAGCTTACTGATTCTCAGTGTGACAATATAGTTTAAATCCTTCTTACTATTTTCAGCATGGAAATCAGAATCTATTCTGCTAACCTTCTGAGCTTCTAAATTTGGTGTCATGCAAGGGCGTGTTTAAAAATTAGCATTTAAAAAGAAACCCACTTGCTTTAAGTTTAAGCTGACACTGTTCCTTTCCTCTGTGGAAATGAAATTTATTAATCATAATAAAACCATCATATTCTGAAGGTAGAGGTCACCCTGAGGAGAAAAAAAAAGTCTGTTCATCACAGAGGAATTTCAATGCATTTTTTTTTCCCAGATAATATCTGAGCTTGTATTCTCACCCCTTTGGAAATATATTCTTCCATGTTTGTGCTTACATGTGTCAGGTGTATTTAGGAGGGTGCAAGAATGAGAATTTTGCAATTAATTTTATATACTTTATTTTCTTTTACAGAAGATTTGGAAAAATGCTTTTTACATGTTATTTTAGTTTATGCTTACATTGCACACATTTATTCAAGTGGAATTTCAATATCCTATAAAAGAGAAGGAAGAAGTATTTCTTATTTTAACAAGAATATAAGCATTGCTAATTCTGAAATATGATTTTTATGTTTATATCACAGTACAAACTTCAGTATTATCAGAATATAAATGTAAAAACATTCTTTTTAAGGAGCAATGATCCTTAGGGCACAGTTCTCATGTTAGGATTACTTCACAACTTTTTTGTTTTAAGGAAGAAACATGGTTTACACAGTAGGATGAAAAAAATAATGTGAAACCCTGACACTAAGTTATTGCTATTTTGCCAAAAGAGTAATAAAAATGTACTCAGAAGTAAATACTGGGTTGAAACAGTCATTTCTTCTTTCTTTTGAAATTACTTAATGTGTTTGTTTATCCGTATTTTCCTCTTAATTGTCTAGATTTCTGTAAAATGTCAATGTAATACTATTAGCAACAGGTTTTATTACATCAGTGTTGTAAACTTGCTAGTTACTTCGCTAGTTGGGTTAAATATACCAATACTTTAACAAAGCCTGAACACTGTATTTGGCCTGTTCCTTCCTTACATGTGGCCCTTGCATTTAGGCCACTTCATCCCCTGCTGTGGGGGACCCATTAGACTTTCCGTTTTGGGGGGCACTGTGCCATAGTCAAGGACCGCGTGGGAACGGGATGCAGGATGGAGTCAAAATGCAGCCCCACAGCAGGAAACAAAGCAGAGCAGTGAGGAAAAAAGGCTCATAGTTAGTGGTTTGTGCTAGCCAAAACTAATGTAATTCTTACAGAACTAAATTTACAGCCTTTGCTCAGTACTGCAGTAATACCAGTTGACCAGGAGAAAAAAAAAACAAAAACAAAAACAAAAAAACGAAAATATACCTATTCCCATTGCTTTAAAAATAATAATCATGACATTAAAGCATGTATAATAACAGTATATGCAATTCCTCCTCCATGTTACTAGGGATATGAGGGAAATTTATAGTGCTGGAAACAAGTCCAGCTTTAAATTAATCGTTTTCCCTTTCAAGATGTTTTCTTACTGTTCAAATGACATTTGACTTGAGAGAACTAAAATTATTACAATGTTTTAAATAGATTCTCACACTTCTAAAATGGGCATGCAGAGGAAAATAAGATGTCTTCTTCACTTCAATGCAGATGAACAAGTCATATGAGATTCTGTTTTGGCTACTGTCAAAGCTAATTATTTTAAATCTCTAAATACTATAATATTTGCATCCTAATGTGGAGCGTTACCAAGGCTGAGATTTATGGAAATTTTTCCAACCAAAGAAGCTCCAGAGTATGGGGTTAAAAGTCAAACCTGCTCAAAGAATTCTTATGCCCTTTCCCAACTCAAAGGTTCACCAAGTGTCATTTACCCAACACAGGCTGATGTGAGCTATTTTTCCTTCCATTTTTTTCAGTGGGAACTGCCTGTTTTCTTTGTTGTTCAGTGCCTTGGATAATTTCCAAAGATAGCTGTTCATGGATACTAAATATTTAAATGGAATTGATATATAAATTTAATCTTTCATTCATAAATATATTGGATGCAAAAGAGGAACTAGGATGTTTTACACAAACCTTTTACACATATTTTCCTGAGTTTAAGATCATGTCTTAAAGAAGGTGATTGTCCAACACGCTGCTGTACCTGGATATTAATGTGTATCTTTGATAGCTATGAGAATTTCTCTGCCCAAATCTGAAGTAAACATAGCTGTGGGGTAAGATATAAAGCCCACATTCATGAACTTTCATAGCTTTAATAGATTAACTCCTTTTTAATGTATTACCTGCCCCTTAACAGAAAGTTGAATTTACTAAGTAAACAAGCCAGTACAACTGAAGGCATTTAGCTACTGTGGTTGTAGATTTTGCCATAGGATGCTTTATAAGAACATACGTACACTTCAGATTTGCCCAAAATGCTGGACTCTGTTGCTGGAAAAAAAAAAAAAAGGCTTATTCACAATACAGAATATCAACCAATGTACACTTTGAAGCTTGTACTTAGTGAACTTTGTTCTACTTTTTTTTTTTTTTTAAATCAAGATAAGTGGTTATATATCCTCGAAAAGTAAAAGTTTGTAACTTCTGCAAATCTGTGACCCCTAGGCTTGCTCAGAGAGTAAGAGACATCTATGTAAAGTCTCTGCCTTTTCAGCACTGAACCCTTTTGCATAGCTGTCCCAGGAGGTGGTTTACTGGGATTTCCATGTGCAATGAATCCCTCGTACTCTTGCAAATGTTGGCTCACTGAAATGGAGAATTAAAGACTGTCTTGTCTATGGTAATTTCTGCTCCTTCCTTGAATATGTCACTGGGTAGGTAGGAATGACTAGATAATTTGGACCTCTTCTGTACCTCACATCCAGGACCCACAGTAGTGGGTGGTGGAGGACTGCATATGCCATGGAAACATTCCTGTCTTAGCTTTCCCCTAGCTGATCATCTAGGAATCAGCTGATCAGATTCCGCTTGTGGAGGAGCAAATACGTGATAGTGAAATACGACACATTTTTAAAAAAAAAAATAAGTTTGTATTTGTGTCACTGAAAAATAAGGTAGTTGCACAGAATGACACCAGTCTGGGGTTACTGTCACACAGGGCTAAAAAAGAATGGTTTTTTTTGAGAGATAGCAAGAGTATTATTAAAACTTAACTTGTTTACTATATTAGCCATTGTATGCAAGACACCACCATAATTTCAAGATTACTTTTGTTGTTATATGTGACACCTGAGATCAGATGGAAATTCTTTGATTATGGAAAAAATGTTAGACACGTTGAGTGAAACCTGTGTCTAGTTGACATGTCCATCTCACTAGTGGTAACTGCATTCAGGCTCGGACTGTGAAGCAGAGCTTTGTATTTCAAGGTGAAGAGGAGGACTGGGCCAGCAAATCAACCAGGGGTACATGTAAAGAAGCTTTGACATAATTTCAACTATAAGGATTTTATATGGGAAGAAATTATAAAAATCTGATTTTCACATCACTGTCTTTGCCTGAAAATTGAGACTTCAGCTGTGCAAGTATCATGGCTTAGGATGATACTCTGTCTCTTCTGTAGAAAGACCAGGAACGTGCAATAGGCATGTTCCTTAAACCCAAGTGCCTGCCGTTGTTCTACAGCTGCTCTCCTTAGCCTGATGTGGATTCGTAGTAGTCTAGTAAGGCTAATTATATGTTTATTGTCATTTGTAACCTTAACATTTCCCAAAGGGTATTGCTTTTGAAACTGCAAAGTGAGTTTATTTGTAATGACTTTGGATAGAGTGGAATATTTCATCACAACCATTTTTCTTAATGTTGGTAATATCTGGTATTAACATTCTTTTCCATTAATTTTCAACTTCATTTTCTTTTCAG